ATGGCCCCCGTGAGCCCCTGGGATCGCAAACCGGCCAGGCGATCAAGAACGGCGTCGTAGCCGTCTCCCAGATCTACCGGCGCCCGCCAGCTGGAGGCCTGCGCCGGGGGCTGGCTCGGAAGTCGGAGGCGCGCTTCGTCGGCGAGAGGGGTGTAGAACCAGTCGCTCTTCCAGTCATCCCACTTCTTGCGAAGGACGCAGGGAATGTAGCGGTTCAGCACCGGCCCCCGCGGTTGGAAGTAGCAGCCACCGACTACCGACGGTGGCGACACCGGCTGTACGGTGAAGAACCACCGGAACAACCGGAGAGATGGGCGCACCCCGATGAACATCTCGCACAGGTGCGCGAAGATGGCCAACGTCATTACTGCGTTGGGGGTGAGGTGCGCCATCTGGAGATCATAAAGCTCCAGAACATCCATGAAGAAAGAAGAGAATGGCGGAACCAGCCCTGCCATTGCGAAGGGAAGGAAGAATACGGACCACCCCGGGTAGTGTGGCGCCGGGCGTCCCTCACCCAGCGCAACCACCTCCCGGCCGGTGGCAGATTCCGGCATGAATCGGCGCAGCAGCCCGACCTGCCTCTCGCTCACGATACGAGAAGGCGGCAGCACGCTACCGTCGAGCGGTGCGGAGCCCCGTACCATAACGCCGGCGGAGGAGGGGTTTGAGAGCGAGTGAGTGTGGCGAGGGTAGGGCACAGGAAACGAGAAGTTAGAGCGCAAGCGGCGAAGGCAAGGGGAATAATGGCGAGAGGAAGGAAGCGAATCTCTTCCTCAGCGTCTTTATACCCTTGCCAAACGCTGTGCCCGGCTCCTCGCTTCCCGCGCCCACTATCTCGCCCCCTCGTTTCTCGCGCCCACTCCTCCACTAATCCCGCTCGCCCGTTTGCGGCGCACGAGGCGGATGTGCGGCCGTGGCAGTCGAGATGGGACATATCGTGCGCGCGTTAACTACGCTCGCCGACCGATGCACCATCATCACATCTCCAGGCGAAACAAACCGGCTCGTCCCAATTCGTGCGCTACTCAAGTAATGTAGCGGTCTTGAAGAAAGCCGCTCATTATTGTCGGTCGGTTTTTCCCTTGCCGATGCGCGCGATTTGCGACCACTGGATTCCTGTCCACCTGTAGAGACCGGCCCCACCTGTCACCAGGCCTGAGGAGTGGCGTCACGCCCGAGCGTTTTCCTCGAGGAGGGCGATCGCACTGGCATAACGCCGGGGGCTACTGTCGGTGACATGGGACCGGGGATATCTTGACTAGAGGTTTGGGGCAGCCGCGGTCACCCACGTGGCCTGACCCCCTCGGGGGGTCGGGCCCGAGGGTGAAGAGGCCGCCCCTTCCTCTATCTCCCCGAGGGGTCGGGCCGCTCCCGTTTCGTCCCCGAGGGCTGGGGCGCCCCGACCCCCTGAGGGTTTGGCGCCACGTGAATGGGTTAGGTGAGCACAGCGGCGCTCACCTAACCGCGTTTATTGCGGGTTGGACGAGCGCATCACGCCGCATTTAATGCAGTATAGCGCAGGCTTATCCGGTCCGTGACAGGTCGCAGTGTGTGACCGGTCACAGACCGGTCAGATCGCGGGTTAAGGGGCAACAGGCGGCCTGACACACGCCTCCAGGCACTCGTCCCTAGTCGGAGCCGGCGTGGGGACTCCTGGAGTTGGCACATCAGCCCCAGCCAGATACATTCCAGGCTTCATCGCAATCATTGCAAGGAAGCCATTGTATGAAGAAGGGCAGACGTGTAGCATGCTAAACTGACACGTGGTGGACAAGAATGACCGGTCTGTGACTGGTCATACGCCGGTTGCGTCATTGGCAAACAACCGTGCTTCCACGTTGCACCTGCTTCAGACGGAGTGGAGGTTGGTATGACCCATCCCATCGGAGGGTCATTCAAACAGCAGCCATTGCAAATCTCCGCCCATTAATGAGAGAGAACAGGGCTATCCCGGTGTCAGACAAAAGTACGAGCCAAATCTTGATCAAAGTAGGATGGGTCCCCACCCAAAAGAAGGGTAGGTAGAAATGGTATATGTGGTATCCCCTTGAGATATAAAAGGAGGACCATGCCTACCAAGAAAAAGGGGAGGGAGAAGATCTGAGCTCGTAGAAGGGACGGAAAAAAAAAGAGTAGGGAGAGGGTCTCTAGAGTTCAAACGCTCTTTCTCTCCAGCTCTTTGTAACTCCTTCATACACAGATCCACCAGAACACAGGAGTAGGGTATTACGCTTCTCAGCGGCCCGAACCTGTCTACATCGCCCGCGTCTTGTGAATTTGCTCTCTCGCGAAACATTCCACAGATCAAGGGCTTAGAACCTCACTTAGCGCCCCCGGCCGAACCGGCAAAGGGGGGCCCACGCGGTCTCCCGGTGAGGAGCCCCACGCTCCGTCATCACCGTTCCAACTGGCGGCGCCAGGCAACGCAATGGCAGTCCACTCACCCGAGGGCGACACGGCGGGGCTGAAGTCCGCAACACCAAGCGGCGTCAGGCGGCACGTGCGGCTGGTGGACAGCTCGATGGAGTTCACAGCGACCCAGCTGCTGCGCGGTTCCACAGCGGGGATGGCGGTGGAGACATAGACAAGGTGGGAGCCGTCGGGTGTGAGCGATAGCCGGTCCTAGAGCGCGATGGGTTCCCAGGGAGCAGCGGCGAGAGAGCCGCCGCCTCGAGCGCCTCGTGGCAGGAGGAGGGTACGGGAGAGAGGTAGAGGTTGAGGGAGCCGTTGCGCTCGGAGATGAAGAGGATGGAGTCGGAGTGGGAGGTGGGGGCGAAGTTGCCATTGTAGTTGACGGAGACGCCATCGGTGAGGTAGAGCTCGGTGGCAGGGTTATGCGGGGAGGGCGAGAGGGGGAGAGAGAAGATATTAAACTCATAGCGGCTGCGGCCAAGGGTGGTGAACACGATGGTGCCGCCGCTGGCCGACACGGCCTGCGAGGCGAGCAGCGCGCCACGAGGAGCGGCGAGCAAAGGAGTGGCTATGGTCGTCAGACTGAAGCGAGCTAAGTGAGATAGTGTTGAGAGACCCGCTTCAGGTTGTTGGATTTGGGGATTTGTTTTGCCTATTTTTCGCGGCTTCCATTGGTGATGGTGTGACTACAGAGCTCTAGATATGCACAAACAACTCTTTTTTTTCTTTTTTTTTGTTAATGGCTTTCAACATGATAAAAGTCCACATAAAAATCGAACCATTTCTAGCTAATCATGTAAAAAACTTTAGGTGAATTTTAATCCCATTGTTTGCCGCGTGATTTTTTTTGTTTGTTTTTTGCATTGGCTCCTTGACGGTTGGAGATTGGGGAGGCGAGCTTCGTCATCCGGTGTGGTACTGTGGTGTCCTACTCAGCTTTTGCTACTAAGGAAGAAAGACCTGATAGCAAGCAGCCAAGCACACTCACCCTATCTCTACTTAGATGCACACTCGACTATGACTCTGACCATCTCCATAGACATACACCGTTTGCTACTTAAAAAAATATAATCGTAAATATAAACACATGTGTTAATTCTTATGAATTATAGAGAAATTCATTCTATTATAGCATAGAATGATATAGTATGATATAACCTTTGTTATAGGATTGTAAGTCGTTTTACTTTTCTGGTAAAGCGACTCTATGGCTGGTGAAGTCTTGATGGTAATTTTACCCGGGTAAGAACACATTTATTTTCTGGAGCCATAGGTTGTAATATACATCGGTTGAATGAAGGCAATACGGCCTTTTGTTTGGTAGGGTAGGGTGATGAAAACGTACGAGAGGAAGGCGGAGGCGGCGGCGTGAGGCATGTTTAGGGTTTGTGCTTTATTCATACATCAATCCATAGCCGATCTAGTCCAATTATATCGGTTGGTATCACTGACGATATGTCATCGACCTATCGGCCGATCGGCTATAGACTGACTTATTATGTTTGTTCTCCTTATTGGTTGCAGGATCAAACTAGCTGGCACGCCCTTGACACACTTAAGGCTAGCCTTGGACCTACATTAGAGTTAAGTAGATATCCTAGGCCGTCGTGTTTTTCGTTAACAAGTGGCCGCCGCCAGCGATGACCTCCCTCCCTCGTCACTTCCCCATCCTCACTTCCCTTCCTCCTCGATGTCTTCTTTTCCAAGATTTGCTACAAAGAACATCACATGATGTTGTTTTGTTTGTTCGGTAAATTCTAGCACAGTAGAAAATTTTCTGATATGAGCAAGTATTTATTGGATAAGTGAATCTACAACTGAGTTAATTGAGCAAGACTTACAAAGTCCATGGAGCATCTGAAGTTTTTTTATGCTGTTGATTGATCTGATTCTGCTGAATTTTTTTGCTGTTGTCTGATGATCTGTGGTGGAGTGGTTATGGTGTGTAGGAAATAAACAACAGCAATGTAAAAGGAGGAAGCATAACTGTATGCTCATCAACTACTGATTATAATTCATTCATTCCTCTGTATTTGGTACAAGAGGGGTAACCTCACCAACTCTATCTATAGAGGTATCTCTATCTAGCTATTTTACCTTCACTTCTCTATCCAAACAAGTGATAGGACCATTCTATCCCTTTTTATCCCTCAAACAAAAAAGAAACATGGTTCATTCCATTTCTCGAACCAAACAAGAAAATAGAACCATCCTATCTATCAGGGATGGACTCAACCAATCCCATCTACTCCCTCCGTTGCAGGTTATAAGATGTTTTGACTTTGGTCAAAGTCAAACTATTTCAAATTTAACAAAATTTATAGAAATTTTTTTTTTCAGCTCAACACAAATTTATTATGAAAATATATTCGACTATTGATTTAATGAAACTAATTTGGTATTATAAATATTACTATATTTGTTCATAAACTTAATTAAATTTAAAATAGTTCGAGTTTAGTTAAACTAAAGTTAAAACGTTTTATAGAAACGGATGGAGTAATTCTCAAACCAAACACATGCCTAGAGCTGCCAATTCCATATGGGTCGGCTCAATTCCTAGCCGTTGCGATCCGTTGCGAACTTGCGACAGACTACTCGTCGGCTCAATTCCTAGCCGTTGCCATATACTACTCCGTATGTGGATGTGGCCCCCATTGGCCAGTGACCCAATATATGGAAACCTAACTGCATCCACCATTCCACCGTCATCCTCGCCGTCCCCTTCTTCTGCGCCGCCGCCGCCGCCGCCGCCGCCGCCGGAGGGCGGTGCCGCCCCTCTCTTCCTCTCTCGTCAACGCAGCAGCAAAAGCTAGCGTGCGCCGCCGGCACGCAAAGCTTCCCCCGGCTCCTCTTGCCCTCCTCTAGCTCCTCCCCCATCCCCGACCTAGGGCTTCTTCCAATCCTCCGCTGCCGCCGCCGCCGCCACCTTCCATCCAGCCTCCGCCGACCGCTGCCAACCATGGCGCTCTACCGCCGCCTCCTCCACCTCCGCCGCCTCCAGCCCCCGGCCGAACACGCCTCCTCCGTAGCCTCAGCGACTCCCCGCCTCTTCCCGCTGCTCACGCCGTCGCGCCCCTTCGCCGCCGTCTCCTCAATCCCCCGCGTCGAGCCGCCGCTCCTCGTCGTCCCCTCCGGTTAGTACCTATTCTACTCTGGTGGAACGCGTTTGGGAAAGGATTTCATGAGTTTCTATGTGATGGATTCGATGAATCTGCGGTTATTCTGCTAAACGGATGATGAAACTTACATACGTCCTCGAAATTTCTGTGGCGTGAGCTAATGAGGAGGCATGATTTCATCCTAAATGCATTGCTTCTCCTAGGTTTGGCGCGCGATGGTTTCTTCGGACGTAGGGGGGATCGCCAGTTCTTTTCAACTGTTGGTGCTGTCTTAGTTGGTCAAGCAGGTCTGCTTTCTATCTCTCTCCTGTGTATACCGCTCATATGTTAGTTTTCCTTATGTGTATCCGCTGTTTGCACATTACATGTTGCTTGCCCGTACCTCAATTAGCAAAATTTGAGTAGTATATAATTACTTTACTAAATGAATCTTTAACTTGTGCCTTCTGTACTGGTTGCATATATGCAAAGAACCCAAATGTATTTAGCATCCGATTAGGACAACAAAACTAAGCTGCAGCTGCAGGTTCTTTGTCTAGGTTGTAGGATCCTTGATTTAGATCACTTGGCACTGATCAATGGAAGTATACTAACTAATTCCTGAAACAGCCACATGCATAATGTTGTGATGGTTATATGCACTGCGTAGTGTGTAAGACAACTTGTTTTCTTGATGTTACTATTGCTATATACAATAATTTCGTTGTTGTTTCATTTTTTGCTACCTCTTACCAGTTCTGTGTATGTGTTACAACGTTACACTTTCAAATTTTTACAGCTATTTAGTTAAACACTTATTTATATTCATTTTCTTCTTTTACATCTCTTTAAGTGAATTTTCATATTATGCCCTGAAATCCCAACTTCAATCTGAATACAGCTATTTTTCTTGGTCTATGCAATGACTCTGCACTGGCTCAGGATGATTCAGCTGGTCTAGGAGCTACAAGAAATGAGCAAACTGAGGAAAACGCTACAGGTTTACAGCGAATCGAAGATGGCTCAGTGGTCTCAAATGAACACACTGTCAAATGGAGAATCTTCACTGATAATGCTCGAGATTTTTTACTGAAAGCAAGTAACTCATAACCTGTAGATTTATTCAAACCACCTTTTGTCTCTAACTTACTTTTATACTGTTTTACCGTTTATTCTAAGCAATAGATCTTTCTAAAGAACAGAACAGCAATCCTATTAGATATATATAACAGAACAACAATCCTATTGTATAGTCCAGAAGGTGGTTGATTTTTCAGTGAATCAATTTGTACTCGTTCCACACTTTCCGGTCACCTGCTGATACTGCCAGTAGGATGACATCATCAGAAACCTTGGATATGCACTTCTAGTTTTCCTATTAAGCTATTTATCGCTTCACATATGTATTCCACAACCATAATGTTAGGAAAATAATTTGCTTTTGCTCGAGAGCTTGGTTCAGCACTTCCTTCCCTGACAGGGAACTTATGTGTTTATTATTGGATGGGGAGAACAAGGATAACTTGTATCCATGTGCCGGACCTTCATTCTGCATTTCTGCTTGGTGGAGAACCTACCAAGCATATAACATGGATCTCCTATCCTGCGGAAAGGAAAAAGAATTTCACATTCTTCCTTTCAGGATGGGAGGATTCCGGAAGTCTTATTGGTATCAGCCTATGCCCAGTGGCTTGGCTCTCGAGCCATATGTGAGTTCTTTTCTAGGTGCAGCCATGCCATCCTGGATTTGAACTAGAGACCTCTCATAATTATTTGTTCCAAAATTTGATGCTCTTATGAAGCCATCAGGCTGGATATGGGTTCATGATTGTGCTTATCCTTCTATTTCTAGTAATTGAGGAATTTTGTTTTATGCTACGTTAAAATATAGGATTGCATCTCGTGTTTTGAGTCTTAAAGAAGTATACCTTCAAACAATGGCTTTGGCTGTATGCCTGTATCTATAATGGCTTTGAGGGAATGTGCATTGAAGTGAACCACTGGACAGTTCTCTTTCATTTTTAGTAGAAACTGGGACTTGTCACTCTCCAGTTTCCACTCTTGCGTATTGAGTGGCTTAAAGGGTATACTTCTACCCATGGTTTCATTTTGTCACTTGAGTGGTATTTAGTGCAGCATGTTAAAGTGAACCCTTAACAATCTGCAATGTTCTTGCATTGTAGCAAAGTTATTCTCCTCAAAATTGTGATGTGAGCCAGGTTAGACATGTACACTGATATGAATATATTAGATTGGAAATTTTGAATCATATTTTCTGCACATTTATATCTTGGAAGTTGCTCATTGTCTGAGAGATTGTCTAAAGGCTGAATCTTTAGTCATTTATACTCTTTATTATGCCATCAAAGGTTTCTTTCCATTTTGTAGAGAAACCTAGATGAAGCTGAGAAGTTTTTCCAGGCAGCCCTACATGAAGCGAAAGAAGGATTTGGACTGAGAGATCCACATGTTGCGTCAGCCCTTAACAATCTGGTAATTGTTAGTTTGGTTATTTACTGAAGACTAATATGCTCTTTAATCCATAATATAACCTTGAGTTTTACAAAGTTGAATGGCCTTGCTTTGCTTTGAATAAATAAATAAACAAATTCATATACACATGCACATTGAATCGGCAACTTATTTGTTGTGGTGCTTGGTTTTCTCCGTGACCTCATTCTGTTGTTATCCTTAGAAGAGCTGCATGTTAGTTGCCATCGCTCCTTCACCATGCTCAACGCTAGTTACATGCTAGCTTCACCACTTTGCCCTGAACCATAATTTGGTCTAAAGTTATTTTGTTTATTGGGATACATTTTATTATATTTTTGATTTTTTTTGTTAAGATATACTCCCCCTGTTGTCTTTTAACCGTTGTTAGGACAAGGACATTGTCTCCAGGGCATTACTTTTCCTATTTTATATTCATAAAAATATTAAAGATATAAACTGCATGGAAGGGATTCGAATGAGGTCATTATCAGATACCAAATCTTAATGTTGTTACACATGTTAATGAGTTAAGATTTCGAGGTTTTACTGCACCACGTTCTAGGGCATCATCTATTTGAGAACACAGGGAGGTGGAAGGGGGAGGTCAGAGGGATGAACGAACCATTATCACCAACACAAATATTTATAGTAACATAATTGATAATAGGTATACATTCTTGCTCTTCTTGAGTACCTTGTTGAGGGTCTCAGTATAGTGTTCGCCTTTCTCGCTGAACATGTTGGGTGATTTTACATCTAGGGGATAGCATATTCCAAATTGCTTAGGGTTACTTACTAATACGTTAAAATTACATGGTAAAATATCCAAATTGCCATGTGGCTATCTGATCTTGGTTGAAGAGAGCATAACACACACAGATGTCAGCTTACATTCACTTAGCTGAAGCAGATTATTGATGCAAGGACAATGGTGGGGAAAAAGAGGGAGTTGATGAGGAGGATTAGGATCTAGTACCATGATATGTTTTGCCACCCACAACTACTCTTCATTCTGTTTGCGCTAATCACACTCAAGTTAAATGGGCCAGGTGTAGACAGGGCTATGTATATGTCAATACTATTAACACCGCAAACAATTAATACTAGGCTGGATGGAGCCAAATATTTTAATAAATTGTTACTCCCAAATTTTGCAGGCTGAGTTTTATAGGTTAAAGAAAGAATACGAGAAGGCTGAGCTATTGTATCTGGAAGCAATTGAAATCCTGGAAGAATCATTTGGATCGGACGATATAAGGTACATTTGGATCTTCTTTTTCTGCTATCATTCATTATGGGTAGACTGCAAATGTTGTATTATCAACTTGGAGTATTCACTAATGTTACCACTGTAACTAAACTTTATGCCAGTATAGAATGGTGAGAAAATTAGGTATAACCAGTACAGTACTACCCAAATCCTATGCACCATTAAAACAACTAGTTGATACCCCGCGCTTTGCTGCGGGATATGTGGATGAATGCATGTTATACATTCTAGAAATGATAGATGTACATGTTTAAATAATGTGAAAATGATAATGATTTGACATTGGTTGCATATTGAGTTCTAAAAATACAACAAAATTGTAAATGATATGTTATATTTGCATGATATTTAAAATACTATAGATAATAATTGCTAGTGGGTGATGACGTAGCACACTTGCATGTGATTTAAAATACTCTAGATAATAATTGCTAGTGGGTGATGATGTGGCATACTTGCATGTTGATCTTTAGAAGTTAGTGGGCATCAACTTTATAGTAAAATAGGATTAGGTCCACTTTAATCGAAACTTTTCAAGTTCTCTCACTTTATCATTCCTGTTGCTCCTGTCAAATCGCCCAACTGGCACTAAACACCAGATTCTTCTTGATCTCCTCCCTGCCTCTGGTTGGTAGACAACCCCCAGATGCACCTCATGCTGAGTTCCCAGCCCCTTCCTGTCTAGATCCGTCCTGGAGCTTCTCTCCCAACTCCAGTACCAGGCATAAGGGGTGCCGCTGGTGGTTCTAATTATAATGAATCCAAACACTAATTCTAATTAATCAATCAGCGATTTACAACAATCTAAGTTCAAACTAAATCAAATCAACACAACCTGATCATGCTGAGCATGTTACATAAAAAACCATATCATACTCCAGAAAGAATCTTCATTACAGCTGCATGTGAACAATTAGATTCATTGTAAACATGGTTTTAAAACGTTGCCTAGGTGTCTGGGTATGCTGAGAGGTCAGGGTGTCGCCTCTGGCTTCCCTTCTTCACATGGAGCGTATGCTTCCCATGATAAATCATGTGAAATCGAGGGGTAGCCAAGCAGATTGAGTTCACGCACACAGAGGAGAAATCAAGGGCACATGCTCTATTTTTTGCACAGCTCTGCATTTTCTTGTGCACATTACTCTTCATGGTCTACTCTACTACTTGCACCCGTGCACCTCTGTTCTTCTGCTTGTGTGACGTGTTTCTACACCTAGGTGCTTTGCCCTGCTGCTTGTGTGGAACTTCTCTCAGGTGCTTCTGTGGCACTTGGACACAAGAATTGGCAGCAACGCTGTATGTATATACTACAAAATTCGGTGAAATTGTATAAGTTAGGATATGTGTAAGGCGTTGCCTTGATGCATGGCTTAAATGCCTAGGTGTTGCCTAGGTTTTTGGAAGGGAGTGGGTCAACTCACCTCGTGTTATCGCTTTAAGAACACTGATTGTGAAGTGTTGACAAAGAGAGTTTAGGAGGAGACGGTGATAGTGCATGGAGTCTGTCTGACATGTGCTTGGACAGACAAAAGGGGGGGGGGGAAGGGGGAGAAAATAGACTGTTAGAAGTGTGGATGGATCTAGGAGTCTCGGTGGAAGGCTGCCAAGCAGTGGCCTAGCCTTGCCTGGTCAATGATTTGAAGGGAGAAGAACCAATGTGCTGGGGAAGTGGTTAGTGGAGTATCCCCAATCAAGAGAGGCTATGGAGTGCTATATGAATATATGATGAGAGGAGGAGGCTAGAAGCTGAAACCGGAGAGGAAAATGAAATTAAGGCAAGTGAGATTGAGGCATCTGGTCAAGTTGTTAGGAGAGTTGCTGGCATGTATCATGAGTGGTATAACACAAGGCTTGTGAAATTTAGGTGGCATTTTAGTTAACACTAATATTTATTAGGTGGTATATAAGTGGTAAAACAATCAGTTATGCTACCCCTCTCGTGTAAATGTACAAGATGTAAAGAGCCTGACCACATACTTAGGCCCCCTTTGATTCAAAGGAAAGTTAGAGGAAATTTGGAGGATTTATTCCTATGGTATCTTTTCCTAGATGATCCTTTGAATCAAAGGAATTGATAAAATTGAATCCTATGAAATTCCTATGAAATGCCTCATGCCATGTAAGTTTTGGAGGAAATCTAACATGAGGTAGAACCCCATGGAAACTTTCCTTTGGGTCTTAATCTCTCCTCTAATTCCTGCGCTTTTCCTGTGGTCCAATCAAACGGTCATTCATGTGTTTTGCAATCCTTTGTTTTACACTTGCATTCCTGTCAAAATCCTACGTTTTCTCAATCCTGCAATTCAAAGGGGCCCTTGCTAAAAAAAACAAAGCGTAATTTTTTATTTATTCAAATTTTAAGTGTCTTTTTGCAATTACTTCTATTTTAATCAAACTCCCATTCTGTATCTTTTACATGCTTGACCACATCTGGGTAATTATCTTAATTTTGTTTTAAGTGCTTATTTCCAATTATTTTAATTTCAATCAAATTCCCATTCTATATCTTTTATATGCTTTAAAATATATGGAAACACAAGATGTTTTGTCTTTGTTTTCTAGTTCTGGTAATTATCTTAATGTTGTCCATCTATGAATCATACTTTACTGTAGGGTTGGAACTGCTTTGCATAGTCTTGGAATATGCTACCATCTTCAACGCAAGTTTGCTCTAGCTCAGACATGTTATGAGGTACCTTTTACGGCCTCATAGGTCTTGTCTATTCTGTTCTGTTTTTTCCTTGGTTCTTTTACTGTGATGGGCAGTCTGGGATGTTTTTGTGTAGAACTATCATGCAATAGAGTACTGGCTATTGTTTATGGGATCAGCATATAGGGGCAGTAGTATTCTGTGTTCCTTAGCTTCAATTGTAGTGTTTGTGCTCTGTCGAGAGTGGTAAACTAATGGAGCCATTTTCATAGCATCTTTTGCCAGATTGAATAATGTGTACTATCTTGCTCCAAGCATGTAGGTTAAAGAATTTCCTAAAGCATCGTAGCAGCAATACAATGACCATCTGAGTTGTGGCCCACCTAACCTGTTTTTACTACAGATAAGGTTGTGCTTGCAGAATGAAAATGCACAATAAAAGCATCAGTGAAAAGAAAAAAAAACGATGCTATTCAGTTCTTACTATAATTATTTTGTTAGTTTTTTTTTGTGCTCTTGATGAATGTGTTTTGCCAACATAAGCTTGCTTCTAATACTGTCATCTGTTCCTGTTGTTTCCTTTTGCAGCGTGCTTTGAAGGTACTGTAAGTTAACTTATTTGTGACTCCTTTCTCTCTCCAGGTTGAATATGTATTTACCTGAATTTCATGTATTGGTCATCAATGGTGGTACTAATAAGTGATATCACATTAACAGTACTTGAGTCAGTGTTTTTGTTCTGCATTCACATCATTGTTTTTGATTTGAATGATGGCATGCAAGTAGGTTTGACTGTAATTTCACAGAGAGCAAGACAACAGTGTCAATTGTTCTGCATTCACATCATTGTTTTTGATTGAATGATGGCATGCAAGTAGGTTTGACTGTAATTTCAGAGAGAGCAAGACGACAACAGTGTCAAAGTTGCGTGTAAATTATAGTGGTGCAAAAGTAGACTTCTTTTTGTTGTGTTAATTTGGTCATCTATCCCTTTTTGATGGTCTTATATGCTATATGGAGGTTCACTGGCAACATTTTTTTTTTTTAAAAAAACTTATTAGTTGAGTTGTTGAAAGTTCAAGATCTTATCCACAATACACTATGGATAATGGGCCTTTGACCTTTGCGCACCACCACCCCCCTGTTCTTCATGCTAGTTTTGTTGATTCAACTAATAGTTAGTACTTATTAGTGATTTCTGCAATGAATATGCAATAACAATGCATATCAGTTGACAGTTACTGATCCGACTAGAAAATAACTTGTCTTTGCTTATATGTAAAAAAATATATTTAACTACAGTAGCAAGGAAATTCCATTTATTACTATATAATATGTCTGTTTTAATTGCATCTGTAGATAGAAGGACGTGTTATGGGGATTGGTCATCCAGAGTATGCAAGCACAATGTACCTTCTTGGCAAGGTACTGTTGCTCCTTTTATATTTATATTGCTGCTGTATATCGTGCTCTACATTATAGACTCATTACCTTTTGTCAGTAATCTTGCTTGTGTTACCTTAGTCCTGTTCCTTTCAATCAGGGTGGTACTAGCAGTATTTTGCTGTTTAAGCTATTGTTGTAGTGTTTTTATATTTTCATTATTTTGTGACTGCAATCCTGCGGCATATTGCCTTTCCAAACCTGCACATTCCAGCTGAGGATACTTCTGTTTTGCTGTTTAACCTATAGATATAACTTTTTACTTTTTTTTTTCTTGTCAATGTATCAGCTCACATTATCTTCCTTTCTTTTGCTACATTTTTCTGTAAGTAATCATTGCCTTTTGTCGAGAACCAATCAGACTCCTAGTGAAGACCTGAATTGTACTCCCTCCGTCCAGGAATATGGGGGATTATTCCCAATCTAGCACAAATTAAGGAAGATGAAAGATTGCATCTAAGACATCCAGCAATACACATCGGCACATTGAATGAACTGCACAATGTACACCTTTGGGGATTAAACTATTAAACTTTGGCAGGTTGAATGGTGTGGAGTAGCACTAGTACATTCTCTGTATTTCTTTTATTCTGACGGGAACTGGTGGAGTACTTAATTTCTAGTGGATGGCATCGATTGCTCCTGTCCTTGCTAGCCTCGGGTAAACAACTCTTATATTCCTGGAAATACCAAGGGGCAAAATACCCTATATTCCTGGACAGAGGGAGTAGTATCATTTGAACTTATTCTGCTCTCTAATTGATACCACCATCATTTATGTTGATTTGATCATAAAATTTCTTCTACTCTGATTTTCCTTGTCATGTAAGGTTGCGAGGGAGTAGAAAAAAAAGAAATATAGAATAGTAAAAGTATATCTGGCCTCATGGTACTGTTTGGCAAAAACTACTTATATTAGTATCCTCTTGTCTCCTAGAGTCATTTATTTGTAGCGACCCACCTATACAAAAGAACTCAATCCCACAATTCTATGCTAATTATGAAGTTGGTCATTATGGAAAGAAGGAAGCTGTCATGAACATTTTCCTCCTGCTGTCACTTTCTTGTCAGATAAAATAATTACTTCCTTTGTTCCAAAATATAATCATTTCTAGGTTGTTTAGCAAATGCTAGGGTTAAGGGGAAAAATTTTCCCTTTTCGTCACTTCAGTTCAATGGCCAAAATTTTGAATTATTTAGATTCCCCACCCAAGCACCTGATTGGCTGAAAATGCATGGATTTCTGTGTATTGATTCAGTGTCCCAGAAATGCTTGTATTGTGGTAGAAATTTTGAATCCTAGAAATGCTTATATTTTGGAATGGAGGGAGTAGAAGATATTAATTAGGGATAAGGTTTTGTATTTAACCTTTTCCTATCTCCACAGTTGTGTTTAGTGACTATAGTCACATAAGCCTAAATTTCTTTGCTGTTATTAGGTGTTAAGTCAACAAGGAAAAGATGCAGAAGCCCTTATTGAAGAGTCTATCAGGATATTGGAGGTATGATTACCATATTAGTTCATAAGTTTGGATCTTTTGTATGTGCATGTATATGTTTGATGAGGATTTTACCATGATTTTAGGAGTCTGGGCTTGGTGAGTCACCAATATGCATACAAAGAATGAGGTATCTCTCCACGGTAAGTGCTTATTACAACATCTCAGTTGTCTGCAATTTTTAGCGTTTGGGCACTCAATATCTATGCATATGTTTTACTGTACATGTATATTGGTCCTACTAAACTGTGGTAAGAGTTGTATTTTTTATTTTTATGCATGGCATTTTGCCGCTGAACCCACATCAAAGGCGTTAAATACACTGAGTAAACGGTAGACAAGCTGAATTTTATTTTCTATAAGTAGGGGATAAGCCCAAAACTGCTAGGTGCCAGGGGCGTTGCGGGGGAGTGAGTGCGGGGCTGGGCTGGGGCATAATGTGCAAGGGCATGGGGCGCATATGGGTCACGACATGCGGGGTTACACCTGTCACAGCTGGTGATACACTACAGTAGATCGTGCCAGATATGCAACAGTTGGTGTTTTGTGCGTGCGTGAGTTGAGCCTGCGAGCTCGTTTGAGTTGTTGAGCCTGTGTGCTTGCGTCATGTGACTAGCTCTGTTTCTATTACAGCAAGGGGAAGGGGTTATGAAAATGAATAGAGAAAACTAAATCTATCTCCATCTCTGCTCTGTTTCTCTTCTGTTCTTCTCTGTTCTTCTGTTCATCCTTTCTCTGCTGCTTCTCTCTATCTCTCGATCTCTCTGCGATTCCAATCTATTACAGTGGTATCAGATTCGGGTTTTTGTGGTTGATTCTTTTCATACTCTCTCGATCTGACTGGTAAAAATCTCTGTGCTCCGGGTTGGTGGCTACCCCTGCGTGCGGCCGCTGTAAGTTCGGTTCTGGTTCGGTTGGATTTGGAGAAGGCACCACGGCGCCCATCAAACTCAGTGCTCCATTGCAGCAGTCGCTGGACTCAATGGAGCTCTTGGAGAAACTGGAGTCCATCACTCAGAGGATGGAGGCTATTGATGAGAAAGATGGAAAAGCACGGCGGCTGGATTGATCAGGTGGCCACCAAAGTAAATCTCGCTTTGGAATCTGTGGGGAAATTGCAGCAGGAGCATGCGCAGGCTGCGCGTCTTCAGAAGCATGCCTTGGGTGACCAAGTGAGTACTCTGGGTTCCCCGTCCTCTCTCTCCATGGCTAGTTTGGGTGCTTCACCACCTCCACCGCCGCCTCCACTTCTTGTATTTCTGAAATCTGCTCCGCATTGGGATGGCACTGAATCGAGTCGCCCCCTTCCCATGAAGGGGGCTGCGAGCCAAGAGTTGTTTGCGTAAGATGGATTTGCCTCGTTTTGATGGCTCTGACGTTCGTATTTGGCTTGATATGTGTGAAACCTATTTTGACATGTATCATATTCCATCTACTATGTTTAAAGTTTCTGCAGCGGTTCTTCATGTCTGGTATTGCAGCAAAAGTGGTATCAGTCGTTTAAGTTGGTTGAAGAAGTTCGCGATTGGTCTCCATTTCTTCATGCTGTTGCGTTGGAATCTGAGCGGCACCACTCAGCATGAGAAAGTGCAGGTTCTGCAAACTTGGCGTCAGACTGGCTCTGTTGTTGAATATAAAAATCAGTTTGATTCTCTTGTTTACCAAGTGCGTGTGTTTGATCCTTCAGTGGGTGGTATGATGTTGGTATCTCACTTTATTTTGGGACTGGAGGATGAAATTCGAGCTGCTGTGGTGGTTCAATTACCAGACACTATTTTGGGACTGGAGGATGAAATTCGAGCTGCTGTGGTGGTTCAATTACCAGACACTATTCAACAGGCTGCAGCTGTTGCTTTAATGCAGGAAAGTGTGCTGCTTGAGTTGGGAACTTACAAAGTTAAGAAACTGTCATACAAGCCATCTGGTGTTAAAGGGGAAACTTCTCATTCTAGTGATGAAACTCTGGCTATTAAACCAGAAAGGGCTGAATTGTGGAAGGCAAAACAACTAAGAGATTATAGATGGGCCAGTGGTCTTTGTTTCAAATGTGGTGACAAATATTCCCCAGATCATCAGTGTGCAGTTACTGGGCAGATTAAGGCCATGCAAATAACTGAGGTCATACCTGATGATTTGCTTAATGCTGTGGCAGCTGAAGAGAACTCCGATCAGGAGGACACTTGTCATATTTCTTTGAATGCCTAGTCTGGTGCCACTCATTTGAATACTATTTGACTCATTTGGTGCAGAATAAAGTGTTACTAATGTTGGTTGATTCAGGGAGTTCCCATGGTTTTATTGATTTCAATTTTGCCAAACTGCTGGGCCTGCCATTGCATCCCCTTTCTCCATCAGTGGTGAAGGTGGCTAATGGTGATTCTCTCTTGTCAATATATGGTTCCTAATGGTGATTCTCTCTTGTCAATATGTGGTTCCTAATTTTACCTGGTGGATTCAAGGGCACACATTCTCTTCTGACATGAGGGTAGTACACTTAGGGGGCTATGATGCAATTTTGGGTATGGATTGGTTAGCTCTATGGGGGGATATGTCCTGTAATTGGGCTCTTAAAACTTTAAAGTTTCAGTATCATCACCAGTGGATTGTGCTGCAAGGGGTGCCTGACATTCAGTCCCCACCTGAATTGTGTGTTGTGTCTTTGCCTCAAGTGCTGAAATGGCAAAAAGGGTGTGACATTTGGGCAGCTGCTTTACTGGAACCACATGAAGTGTCTTCCTTACCTCCAGTGCCAGCCATTGTTATCTCCTTGTTGACAGAATTTGATGATGTTTTTCAAGATCCTACCTGTCTGCCTCCTGATAGGACTTATGATCATGCCATTGCCTTGCTTCCTGATGCTGCTCCTGTCAATAGCAAGCCTTATAGATACTCCCCTCCAAAAAGATGAAAGAGAACACCAAGTCAAGGAGATGATTGATTCTGGCCTTATTACCCCAAGCATGAGTCCGTTTGCATCCCCAGTTTTGTTGGTCAAAAAGAAGGATGGCACATGGCGTTTTTGTGTGGACTATAGGAAGCTCAATTTGATCACTGTCAAAAGTAAGTTTCCTATGCCTATTGTTGATGAGTTGTTATTGGATGAGTTTGCTGGCACTCAATTCTTTTCTAAGCTTGACTTAAAAGCTGGCTATCAGCAAATTAGAATGGTGGAAGGTGATGAGTTTAAAACAACATTCAAAACTCACCATGGGCAATTTCCGTTTAGGGTGATGCCCTTACCAATGCTCCCTCTACTTTCCAATGTGTAATGAATTCAGTGTTTGGCTCTTTGATAAGGAAATATGTACTTGTGTTCATGGATGACAGTTTAGTATACAGTCCAGATTTGTCCTTTCATCTGGCTCATCTGAAACAAGTGTTTCTTCTCTTGAGACAGCATCAACTCTATTAAGTGCTCCTTTGCCTGTCCTCAATTAGAATATTTGGGCCATATTATTTCAGTGCAAGGAGTGTGTACGATCCTGCTAAGACTGCTGCCATGCTTGCATGGCCAGTCCCTACTATCACTGAGCTCAGAGGGTTTCTGGGTCACAGGATATTATAGGAAATTTGTTAAGAATTATAGTATTCTTGCTAGACCATTGACAGTGTTGTTACAGAAGAAAGCATTTCAGTGGTCTGACTCTGCTCAGCAGGCTTTTCAGCAACTCAAAGTGGCTATGAGTTCTACCCCTTTGTTGTCTCTACCAAATTTCAATCAACCTTTTGTACTGGAAACTGATGCTTGTGCCTATGGTGTGGGTGTTGTGTTGTGCTTAATCAGCAAAATCATGACCAGCTAATCAGAAACTTTCCATCTATATGAGAGTTCTTGGCTATTATGATGGCAGTTGATAAATGGAGATGCTATTTACAAAGGTGCCCTTTCACCATCAGAATTGATCACAAGAGTTCATGCCATCTCAATGATCAGGTGCTGGGAACTGAGTTACAGCAGAAAGCTATGACTAAACTAATGGGCTTACAATACAACTTTCAGTACAAGAAAGGAGTGGAGAACATTGTGGCTGATGCTTTATCTCGCATGCATGTTCACTCATCTATTTCTGCCTTGACAGTGGTTCAACCAATTTGGTTGCAGGAAGCGGTGAATTCCTATGCAGTGGACAGTCAGGCTCAGCATCTTTTAATGGAATTGGCTATTAAGTCTCACAATGCTCAAGGTTTCTCTTTAACTGATGGTTTAATTCATCACAATGGTCGTGTCTGGATTGGAGCTAATACTGGTCTTCAGACTAAATTGATAACTGCCTTCCATTCTTCTCCCATCAATGGCCATTCGAGCTCCATTGCTACTTATCAGCGTTTGAAGAAGCTTTTTTCTTGGAATGGGTTGAAGTCTGCTGTGACTAATTTTGTGAAGTAATGTCAAGTCTGCCAACTGGCCAAACATGAGCATTGATTGCCTGGTTTATTAGTGCCATTGCCAATTCCAAAGGAGGCATGGGTTGATATCTCGAAGGATTTTATTGAGGGGTTACTTAAGTCTGATGGCTACACTGTCATTCTTGTGGTGGTTGATCGCTTTACTAAATTTGCTCACTTAATTCCCTTAAGACACCCATTTACTGCTTCACAAGTTGCATCTGCAGTGGACAAAGCTGTTTTTAAGACTCATGGCATTCCTCATTCCATTGTCTCTATCATGATAAGATCTCTACCAGCCGGTTTTGGGGTGATTTGTTCAAAGTGTGGGACACTCAATTGAACTTGAGTACGGCTTATCATCCTCAAACAGATGGACAAACCGAACGTGTTAATCAGTGTCTAGAGATGTATCTCAGGTGTATGACTCAAGCTACACCCACTAAATGGAATAGTTGGTTGCACCTTGCAGAGTATTGGTATAACACATCCTTTCATTCTACCTTGGGCTCCTTGTAAAGCCTTGTTTGGAGTAGAGTCTCATGTCAGCCAAGTGCCAGTTTTGTTATCTTCAGTTCATCAGTCAGTGGCTGATTTGGTGTCTGAGCATGACCAGTTATCTGCATTCTTTCAGCAGCAACTCCAGTGAGCACAGCTGCGTATGAAGAACAAAGCTGACCGAGGTGGTTCTGAGCGCTCCTTTGAGGTAGGCATAATGGTTTTCCTGAAACTCCAACCATATGCAGAGTCCTCAGTGATAAATCGTCCATATCCTAAACTGGCATTCAATTTTTTTGGTCCCTTCCGAGTTGTGGAGAAGGTTGGCTCTACAGCTTATCGCTTGGAATTGCCTGAAAGCAGTAGTGTGTGCATCCGGTGTTCCATGTTTCTCAACTAAAAGCCCATGTTCATGATCACACTCCAGTGTTTTCATCACTGCCTTCTCCAGTTGTGCTCGATGCTGCAGGTGTCTGGTCTGAGGAAATCCTGGATCGCTGCCTGGTAAAAAAAAAGAGGAAATGCTGCACATGTGCAAGTTCTGATTAAATGGTCTTCGTTGCCTACTGATCATGCCACATGGCAAGATTATGAAGTCCTTAAGCATCGGTTTCCTTTTGCACCAGCTTGGGGGCAAGCTGTGTCTCCGGAGGGCGGTACTGTCACAGCTGGTGATACGCTACAGTAGATAGTGCCAGATATGCAACACTTGGCGTTTTGTGCGTGCGTGAATTGAGCCTGCGAGTTCGTTTGAGTTGTTGAGCCTGTGTGCTCGCGTCACGTGACTAGCTATTAGGCCTATATAATTGGGACCACATCGAGGGGAAGTGATTATGAAAATGAATAGAGAAAACTAAATCTATCTCCATCTCTGTTTCTCTTCTGTTCTTCTCTGTTCTTCTTTTCTCTGCTGCTTCTCTCTATCTTCGGATCTCTCTGCGATTCCAATCTATTACAACACGGCGGCAGCAGGTGTGCGGCTAGTAGTTCTGGGCTGGGGACCCATGTCACAGGTGCCCAGGGAGCACAGCTGGGCATGGGTAAGGTGAGCCTAGCTGCCTAGGCATGGTGTGTACTGGGCCAGGCTGATGAGAGAGGATAGATTTGGTCTGGAGGAGGAAGGAGGGAAAGAAACAAAAAGGAAGGGGTTTCTTAACAATCAGGGTGACATTGGTTAACAAGGTAGTTTACAGAACCAGTAGAGTAGCATTATGAATTGGTGTTAATAAAGTCAAAATGATATTAAGTCCTGTTCAGGAGCTAAAGTGAGTTGTTTGTTAGGATTAGTCCTAAAAGTGCAAATTTTGTATCACCGTTCAGATTAGAGGTCAAATCCATGTTACTGAGGAAGCCACACATCCATTATGCAAGGATGCTGGTATTTCATGAGGCAAATACTAAGAAGTATTTCTATCCTCAACCCCTCTAGTTCTCTCAGATCAAGCTCCACATTAGACTTATGAATTATGTATGACAAATGAAGATCACAGCAAAATAATCTCAGAAAATTTCCAATTCTAGTTTATTCGAAAGTAGCACATTTTGTTGTTTGATAGTTGGTACTTATTTGATACTTTATATCAGGAGTTGATAAAGTCAAATCGACTTGCTGAAGCTGAAAATTGGCAAAGGAAGATATTACATAATCTGGAACTCTCAAAGGCATGTCGATATATCTTCTTGCTTTTGTACTATTGCTTCATTATTTGTTCTGGTGATAGCACTGCTTATGCGAATTTGGTCATTGTCATGATGCATGCCTTAAAAAACGAGCTTGAGTTAATCTATGTCTTCAGATATTAAATTGATTTTTGGTTGTATTTTTGTTTCTAAATACAATTGTTCTAGTGTTTTTTGTACTTGCATCCTGTCTAGCAAGGCAAGAGAATGATGTTCTCACGATCTAGGTTGTGCTCTAGTTCAGGTGTATTAATGCAGATGAGGGCAATAAAGTCTTGCTTCAGCTATTCATGGTCAATAGATAGCCTGAAATATAGGAAAATAGTAATCAGAACTAAGTAGACGATTGAATGGCCGAAGTAATTGCTTGCTGGTCAAAGTACATGTTTAGTGTTTTCCTATATGTACTCATATTCTACTCCCTCTGTTTGAAACTATAAGGCATCCTTGTTTTCCTCAAAGTCAATATTTAAATTTTTGACTAATTATTAAACTAGAAGTATACGTGTTTAGACCACTAGATTCGTTTTTGAATATATTTTCACATGATGTTAATTTTATAGTTAGTGACAATATATTATTATAGTCAAAGTGTCATGTTGGAGACCATGTAGAAACCTAATATGCCTTATATTTTCAAACCAGGGGAGTATTTTAAAAGTGTAGCTTATCCATCTACCCCTCTCACCTATAGGGACACTTCCTTGATCCACTTATCTGATAAACTTTTATGAGCTTATGTGTCAAGGATTAGATTTGTTAGTATCTCTACTTCCAAATATTAAAGACAAGTTTCTTATGGCATGTACAACGGTGTTCATTAACGGGCTCTTTCCGTTGCTATGCAAGTAAATTTGGTGACGTGTAAGAGAGAGGGAGGAAAGGGAAACATCGTTGCTATGCATAACAGCTCGGAGTCGACTCTTAGCATTTATTAAAGGAAAATTTGCTGCATGTGTTTGGAGAAAAGGAAAGAAGTGCAATAAAAAATATTTTGGTGTATTAATGGTTAAGAGGTCTTGTTGTCTCAACTATTGTTGGAGGATAATCTCTAAGTGATATGTATTAACTAAGAGCGACTCTACCTTTGTACATACCCTTATGGGTCAAGTTAGCCTAGCTATATAAGGATGGAGTTGTATCTTCACCCTGGAAAGAACAAACCAAGCCAACCACCTCAGCCATGTTCCAGTAATACTGTATTCTTAGCAACCGATGGAAATATTGTCCCTATCCCCTCTCCCTGTAGTAGTTTATTTTTGTATGCACCATAGTCCACGGTAAACTGAAAAGGGAATTAACACAAATATTCCAGCAATATCAGGCTCGGTCATAATGAGTCTATTAATGGACCATGCTAACCTTATATGTCATATTCTTTTAATGAACAACCTCTTAAGTCTTTATCAAATCTTATCATGAATCATCCAATTTTTTTACAAAACCTATCAATGTTCGTCTTTGCAATTGTTTGATAGGGGTGGGATTCATTTGACACTACGAATGCAGCTGAACTCTTAACAATGACTCTTCAAACCATGGGGAAGTTGAAGGAATCTGAAGAATTATTGGAAAGGTGGAGCGTAAAAGCTGTTTATTTTGGCCATTGATTGTTTTTTAAATTTCTTACTAACATAATTTTATTTTTTGTATTATATTTAGATGCCTTGAAGTCAGAAAAAGGATTTTGTCTGAGGAACATTTTCAGGTTTGTATCATATTTAATGTTTCACGTGATCTTTAGTGGAAATAAAACATGAAAGCATCATCTCAATGAAAAAACTCACGAGCTTTCTTACATGATCACAATTCTCTTGTTTCTTAAAATTATGGTTGCCAGATCACTTACCAGGTATTTGAGTTTTTCACCACAAGCTCTGCTTTATTGGCAATTAACACAGACTGGGAGGTATTTGTGCCATGTGCCCCTGCCACGATGCTTGATTGGGAAGCAATGTAATCACTGTTGCTCCATATGTATTTTACTAGGTCATGGTGGCATCGCCAATTCATGTTGATTATCACCATTTCCATAGTTTGATGATTACATGATTAGATTGCTTCATTAGTGTTTCACTTCCTTGGTGCATGCTGTGTCCTGAGAAGCTGAGCCCAAGAAATGCAAATGTTTTGTTGAAGAATGTAGGACTCCCTTGCTTTAGGTAGAGTATTGTCCATATCACCAATGGCAATTGTCATTGTTGACTGATGGTTGCGGCAGCTACGGCACACACAAGACCATGTGACCTGCATCTGCTATGTTGAGTTCACGGTGCACCCCTACATGTCAGGTGATACAGCAAAATGCCTAGTGGTGGGGAACTGGGGACTCTAGTGGCAAACTGGCAATCAAAACTAATACTCTAATAGTAGCATTATGATGCTATGATCCTCAAATATTTGGATCAATCTAATGAAAATAATAATTACCATATAGATACCCTTCAGTCACAAATAAGTGTTGTTTTAGAATCCATGCGACATAATTATTACTACATCCGTCCCAGAATATAAGAAGTTTTAGTGTTAGACACGGTTATTAAGAAAGTAAGTAGAATTAAATGGAGAGGTTGTGATTGGTTGAGAAGTGGAGGTAGGTGTAGAAATTGAATGGTGGAGGGTTATGATTGGTTGGGAAGAGAATGTTGATGGAGAAGTTGTAATATTTTTGGACAAAATTCTTAGTGCTAGAAGTTGTTATATTTTAAGACAGAGGGATTATTGTTTAGAATATAGATCTGGGTATATGAAAATAACATGGCCAAATTCGTTATATCAAAAAAGCTTTCATAATGTCACGCTTCTGCAACTCATTTTGGATTTATGGAATTGAATTAAGTGGTCAAAGTTATGTCTTATTGGCTTTTGGCTTTGAAAAGTCGACACTTATTTGTGACTGGAGGGAGTACAGTTTAGTCTTCCACAAATATGTTATTGCGAGATTTACTGTTGAAGGTGCATCCCTGGAATCATGAAAAGTCAATAACACCGAGAATTGGGTTTTCCTGCCGTTTCATATACAATCAATTTAATACTGGTTGTCACTAGCAACTAGCTGGAACCTAGTCCACCTGGTGGGTTCTAACTGGGTATTGCGACTACTTAACACAGTTTTTGAAATGATTCCATCTCCAGTGGACAGTGATTGATTTCCTGTTGTTCCTAATGTTACAGGTAGCTGTTACTTTGGTACACTTGGCAAGGCTAACCATGCTAAACTTTATTAGTGACAAGGAGGACAGTGACCTAGCAAGATCCAAACTTGTCAGGGCAAGGCTACTTGTCAATGATTCAATCAGGTATTCCATTGAGGTTGTTGGATAAGTCTTTGTGGTCCTTGGTCGTGATTCTTCTTTTTGCTTTTGGGTAGTTTCACCTTTTTCAGGACAGCATCTACCCTTTAGCATATTTTTCAGTTGCTAGGACAGTTGCGGTTAGTAGGACAGCAGCAGTTAGCATCTCCTTTATGCCTCCTTTATGCTTTATTAAGTTTGGATGCCCTCTAGGACAGCATCCCATTTAAATTTCGAATTTTAGACTAGGAGGGTGCAGCAATAGGCTAGCAGCCAGCTATGGCTATATATATATATGTATCCAACCTTCCTCGGGTAGGTATGGCTTTTGTGTTTTGTGAATGAAGAAAACCAGAAAATTGCCCCATCTCGAGTGCCATTCTCTTCTCAATGAGAGTAACCATTGAGAGTAACCATTGAAATTCTAACATCTGGTATCAGAGCCACACTTTCCTGTAGGCTAAACATCTCTTGTTCCACCCCTTCCCAAGCTCGGTTGAGCTCTCAGCCAGCAGCAGCAGCAGCACCGGTTGCTCCTCCTTCCCCTTTCCCTTCCCCCTCTCCACGCAGCAGCCCCCCGGAGGTGCGCCATGTCCGACGCTCGGTCTCGGCGTTCGGTCGCCTCGAGCACTCGGCGTCAGCAGGACGCCGAGCTCGCCGCAGCAGAAGAGCGCAGGCGAGCAACGGCTCAGACCGCTGCAGCAGCAGCGAGGGCGGCCAGACTGGCGGCAGCGGAGTTGGCAGCAGCCAGGGCGGAGGCGGAGGCGGAGGCGGAGGCGGCGGAAGATGCGGCACGTGCGGCGGAGGTAGAGGTTGAGACCTTGCGCAGCAGCATCAACGACTCTATCGCCGGCAACATCACCGCCGACAGGGAGCTTGAGGAGCTGGCAAGAGAAAGGGCACGGGAGCGGGCAGAGCGGTGGGCAGCAGCCCACCTCCACGGCGGCGGCGGCGGCCCAAGGGACCGCGCGCCCGCCGACGGGAACCCAGACGGGCGCGGGCGTGCCGGCGGCAGCCCGGAGCCCGCACGCGGCCCTCGCAGGCAGCGCGGCTCTCTCCCCTGATCGGCGCCATGGTCACCACGTCGTCCAGACGGTGGTCAGGGACTTTGGTCCCGGCGGTGGGTGGCCTACCCTCACCAAAACCAACTACATCGAGTGGGCCGTGGTGATGAGGGTGAGGCTACAGGTGCGGCACATGTGGGAGGCAGTCCGGTACGGCGACGTCGACTACGACGAGGATCGGCGGGCACTGGATGCCCTCATCGCTACAGTCCCGCCCGAGATGCAGTTCTCGCTTTCCCAGAAGCGGACTGCCAAGGAGGCCTGGGACGCCATCGCTGCGGCACGCATCGGCAGGGACCGCGCCCGCAAGTCCACACTGCAGGCACTCCGCAAGGAGTGGGAGAACCTGGCCTTCAAGCCAGGTGAGGATGTTGATGACTTTGCTCTCCGTCTCAACACTCTCTTGCAGAAAATGGTGCAGTACGGCGACGACACTTACGACGAGGAGAGAGCTGTCGAGAAGCTCTTCCGCTACGTCCCTGAGAAGTACAGGCAGATCGCTCGCTCGATCGAATCTCTGCTGGACCTCTCCACGATGTCGATCGAGGAGGCGTTAGGTCGCCTCAAGGTCGTCGATGGTGATGAGCCACAACCTCTCTTGGGGCCCATCACCATCGGCGGGAAGCTCCATCTCACTCGGGAGCAGTGGGAGGCCTCTCAGGGTAACGGGAGGAAGGGGGAGTCATCTTCCCCGACAGGCGGCCGTAAGCCGCGCAAGGCGCGGGGAGGTGTCCAGCTACGGTGGGCGCGAAGACATGCCGAGGGTGGCGCCCGCAGAGGCGCCCAGGGCGTTGCCACCGGCAACCACAAGCCGGCACGAGACGACGCCTGCCGCAGCTGTGGCAAGCTTGGCCATTGGGCCAAAGACTGTCGACAGCCACGACGCGGCCAGGTCCACGTCGCACGGGTGGAGGAAGAGCCGGCTCTGCTCCTAGCTCATGCAAACATTGAGCTACCTCCAGCGGCACCGGCCGCAGCGGCTTTCCTCCACCTTGATGAGCCGAAGGTACTCGTCTCCCTCTGCAACGGCTCCAGCAACGACAAGGCTGATGGGTGGTACCTCGACACCGGCTCCACCCATCACATGACCGACCGACGGGAGTTCTTCACCGAGTTCGACTCCAGCGTCCGAGGCTCCGTCAAGTTCGGGGACGCCTCCGGCGTCGAGATCAAGGGTGTTGGCTCCGTCACCTTCACTGCCAAGTCCGGTGAGCACAGGCTGCTCACCGGTGTCTACTACATCCCCGCGTTGAGGAATTCTATCATCAGCGTGGAACAGCTGGATGAGAACGGCTCACGCGTGTTGGTCGAGGACGGACTCATGAGGATTTGGGATCGCTGTCGTCGCCTTCTTGCCAAGGTAACCAGAGGCACTAATCGACTCTACATCCTCAGCGCGCAAGTCGCACAACCAGTTTGCCTCGCCGCTCGTCGGGACGACGAGGCGTGGCAGTGGCACGAGCGCTTCGGGCACCTCCACTTCGAGGCCCTGAAGCAGCTCAGTGCCAAGGAGATGGTCCGAGGCATGCCGTGCCTTGACCGCGTGGAGCAGCTCTGCGACGTCTGCGTGGTGACGAAGCAGCGGCGGCTCCCCTTTCCCCAGCAGACGAGCTTTCGAGCCAAGGAGCAGCTCGAGCTCGTGCACGGGGACTTGTGTGGCCCAGTGACACCGGCCACACCAGGAGGACGACGTTACTTCCTGCTGCTCGTCGACGACCTCTCCCGCTACATGTGGGTGATGGTCCTCGGCAGCAAGGGAGAGGCTGCAGACGCCATCAGGCATGCGCAGGCTGCTGCAGAGGCGGAGTGCGGCCGCAAGCTGCGCGTGCTGTGCACCGACAACGGCGGCGAATTCACAGCGGCTGAATTCGCGTCGTACTGCGCTGATGAGGGCATTCAGCGCCACTATACCACGCCGTACAGCCCGCAGCAGAACGGCGTCGTCGAGCGGCGCAACCAGATGGTTGTGGGGATGGCTCGGGCCCTCCTCAAGCAGAGGGGGATGCCGGCCATCTTCTGGGGGGAGGCGGTGGTGACGGCCGCCTACATCCTCAACCGCTCGCCTACCAAGGCCCTCGATGGCAGGACACCGTACGAGGCTTGGCATGGGCGCAAGCCGGCGGTCTCCCACCTGCGGGTCTTCGGCTGCCTCGCGTTCGCCAAGGAGCTTGGCCACATCGGCAAGCTCGACGACAGGAGCACCCCAGGGGTGTTCATCGGCTACGCGGAGGGCTCGAAGGCTTACCGCATCCTCGACCCGGAGACAGCGTGTGCGCACTGCGCGCGACGTTGTGTTCGACGAAGGGCGAGGGTGGGTATGGGACAAGGCGGTGGACGATGGTTGGACTTCACCGTCGAGTACGTCCACTTCGAGGGAGCTGGGGGAGTAGGCAGCTCTTCTTCACCGAGCGTGTCTACCCCAGCCCCCGAATCTCCACCGACTCCGACACCAACACACCCTCGGGCCACGACTTCGACTACGACGAGCTCTTCGTCGACACCACCTCAGCCAGTGACTCCACATGCTCCAGCACCAACAGCCACTCCAAGCACGTCTACTCCGACGCCAGCTCGTGTTGAGCGCAGCCCGGTGGAGTTCGCTACTCCGCTCTCCCACGACGGGGAGCGCATCGACGCGTACCACGACGGCGAGCAGCTACGGTACCGTACGATGGAGGATCTTCTCGGCGACCAGCCGGTGCCGGGACTGGTGCCTCGCGACCTAGAGGCGCAGTTGCACCTTGCGTGCGACGACGGTGAGCCTCGGTCTTTTGCAGAGGCCGAGAAACACGCGGCATGGCGTGCCGCGATGCAGTCGGAGATGGACGCGGTTCAGGAGAACCGCACCTGGGAGCTTGCTGACCTCCCTCGTGGTCACCGCGCGATCACCCTTAAGTGGGTGTTCAAGCTGAAGAGGGATGAAGCCGGAGCCATCGTCAAGCACAAGGCTCGCTTGGTGGCACGCGGTTTCGTGCAGCAGGAGGGGATCGACTACGACGATGCCTGCGCTCCCGTGGCATGGATGGAGTCCGTGCGACTCCTTCTTGCGCTGGTTGCTCATGAAGGCTGGGGCGTCCATCACATGGACGTCAAGTCGGTGTTTCTGAATGTCGACTTGAAGGAGGAGGTCTACGTGCACCAGCCGCCGGGATTTGTGATTCCCGGCAAGGAGGGCAAGGTGCTACGCTTGCACAAGGCCCTCTACGGCTTGCGGCAGGCACCGAGGGCGTGGAATGCCAAGTTGGATTCCACGCTCAAGGGGATGGGCTACGAGCAAAGCCTGCACGAGGCGGCCATCTACCGGCGGGGCAATGGAGGAAATGCCTTGCTGGTGGGTGTCTACATCAACGACTTGGTGATCATCGGCACCAAGGATGCGGAGGTTGCGGCGTTCAAGGAGGAGATGAAGGCCACCTTCCAAATGAGTGATCTGGGGCCTCTCTCCTTCTACCTGGGGATCGAAGTGCACCAGGACGACTCCGGGATCACGCTTCGACAGACCGCCTACGCCAAGCGCGTCGTTGAGCTGGCTGGGCTCACCGATTGCAACCCAGCTCTCACTCCGATGGAGGAGAGACTGAAGCTGAGCCGCGACAGCACGGCGGAGGAGGTGGATGCTACACAGTACCGGCGTCTTGTGGGGAGCCTTCGCTACCTCACCCACACACGGCCGGACTTGGCCTTCTCCGTCGGCTACGTCAGTCGGTTCATGCAGTGACCGACGACGGAGCAGCAGCATGCTGTGAAGAGGATCATCCGCTACGTTACGGGGACTCTCGACCACGGTCTCTACTACCCGAGGTGTCCTGGCAAGGCACACTTCGTCGGGTACAGCGACATCGACCACGCCGGTGACATCGACACCAGCAAGAGCACGAGCGGGATTCTCTTCTTCCTCGGCAAGTGCCTCGTTAGCTGGTAGTCGGTCAAGCAGCAGGTGGT